CAGGGGCAACAAACACACTGTCTTCCGGCAGTCGGAGACATTGCGTATGATGATTCAAATGACAGTGATCTGTAAGAAGGCCTGTTAGACATCGTAGTTCATCCCTACAGTAGTCAACAACTGTTTGATATCAAGCTTCGAAGGGTGAATAAACGCCTTGGAGTGAGTCAATCCTGGAAGATTCTGCCAAAAGTCCATCCACATTCCTTGTTTCCACATTACTCCACACTTGTAAAGTCACTACATCTATAGTTGTTTTGAATAAACCATCAAAAAAAGTCATTTAGATAATATAATAGTTCCTATTTAATTTTAGGTTATCCTTCATTCCTAGGAAGCTTTCACATATCAAAACACATGCCGCGGTTTTGTAAACTTTCAATAGTGAAAATCTCAGAGTAAACTATATAAATGAAATTTGCTTAATACTGCATGCTTCTCTACTAAATCTGCAATGAATAATATTTCTTTTGCAGTGATTGCGAGTATTAACAAACTTTTTTTCAATGTCAAATGAATCATTCACAATTTCTCTACACATCATTCTTATTTTTGCCTTGTCATATTTTTCAATGGTCGCTGTAGAATCAATCAACACACAATGATGAATATCATATTCACAGACGAGAATAACAGAAGTTTATTTTGAATGGTTTCGCAGTATTTACGAATATAAAGTATTTAATCTGTTCATATTCCCAATTTATGTATAGAATTAATTGAATTGAACATAGTGTTGAATGAAGAGAGCCACTATGAGTGAGTCATTTAATATTGAGATCGTGAAACACGTCACTTTTCGTTTTCAGGAGGAGCCATTCTACGTAAAAATCAACACCCTCTTTCATCAGAAATGGTGCATACACTCCAGAAGCGGATTGAAAAACTGGGTTTGTTTTAGTTTTTGAAAAATCTGCAAGAGTCATTTCTCCAATTTCAAACGAAAATCGTCTGAGCAGTAATATTAAACAAAAATAAATCTTGAAATTATTACATAAACTGATGGCAATTAGTAACATTAATAACATGCAGCATGACTTTCAGAAATAGTCAATAAATAAGGCAATTCTAAGGCAAGTTGATTCGATGGAAAATATCCAGACTTTGACTAAGTTTCTTAAACTATCACGGTGAATGGTACAATCGTTTTAAGATTTCTTCGAAGGACACAAATTCCACCCTCACAAAATGAAAATAATACATGAATTGGAGTGAGACTGAATTTTGTGAAATCCTTCAGAAACGCGGCAACCGTAATCCAGCTTCAGTGTACCCCTAATGTTTCTTGGATAAATGACTCTTTTATCAGAATGAGCAAGTGAATCGTCAAAATTTTCTATACTGAAGTTATTCAGATCCTAATATGGCACGCCAAATCCACACCTGAATATTGTTTCAGCAAAAATTTTAGGTATCCGGAAGGTGGAAGATATACCAATTTGCTGAATAATCAAGTTTCGCCAAACAAAAACAAAATCATCCAATTGAACCATCTGTTGCGAAATGGGGTGGTTTTCCAATATGCCTTACTCCATATTGATTAATACCAGTGCAACAATCCCCGATAATAACTGCCATCGATGAATTGAAATAATACGTTTTACAAAATGGCCACCCAGATCCACCGATCTGCATCCACAAAAATCGAAAAAACTCAAATTCGAAATTTTTAACCCATTTTTATCAAATTGTAATCCTTTTTCAATGGGTTTTATCCTACTGTTATTTTTGTTGGGGTCAAAAGTTATCGCCTCTAGTCTAAATATCAAGTTCCCGTTGAAAACAATTCGAAGCTACTTCTTCTGTATGTCTTAGTTATAAGAAATGCAGATAAGTTTTCAGAATCTGATGAATATATGAAGAATACTAGTACATACAGCTTTGACAAATTTGACAAAAAGTGGTATTTTTCACCGCAGGGTGGTCACATTTCCTTTGAGCAATAAAAAATTTGACACCAAGAAGGAACATTTCTTTTTATGTTTAGTTTGTGCTCATGCATTTCCCCCATACTTTGAAACGTCTCACTCCTGGGAAAGAAAGTTTTTGGCTTTCTACTACACCATCTCTTACTCCTATTTTGCTTGTTACGTTAATTCTATATATCCAATATTCTCAGCCTCCCTTTTTTTTTCTAGAAATTTTTTGCTTCCACTACTCTTCCAATTATATGTCAGTCCTGCCCTTTTACAAACATCTAACAAAAATTATGAGATGAATACTGCAACTTCGAATTGAATTATGAAGAAAAAAGAAATGAAACTTTCTATGTTTTTAACCACTTTTATTAATATATTACGTTTCCCAGCTTTAAATACTGGGGTGACTACGGATTCTTTCCATTGTTCAGGCATTTTTCCATTGAGGAAGCAGAGATTTATAATGTGTTTCAGTGGAGTAAGGATATGTTTGTGGATAGCTTTTATAACTTTGGTATCAATTCCATCCGGCNGCCAATTCACGAGAATATCGTCTATTTTCTGTACCAAATATGAATATGTATATGAATATGTTTTTTACCCGAGTCAGAATTCACTATAGTGGTCTCCAAGCTGTTCATAATTATATATTGCAATAAAAAAGGCCTCAAAAATCATCTACATATTGTCTCGAATATCATTTTAATATTACCGTTACAACTGAAAATTTTGAAATACATTCAACATGATCCTAGAACCCGTGGGTTGGGCTACCTATCGGGCGCGTCCCCAGGTGGCGGATAAGGGAACGGCCAGGTGACTGAAGGCCTTGTCCGAGAAGCCAATGTGGCCTTACGGATGGGGTCGCCGGACTCCTGGTCATTGGCAGAAATAAGTAGGGTGAGGGGAACTAAAACCCCCAAAAGCCTTTGCAAAACATGCCACCGTGGACCAGCCTACCCAAGCTAAAGTGTAAGGAATCGTGCCGACAACTGAATGGACGCAGGGTGATATGCGGTCACGAACGATCCCTTTGGGAAACTGGGCGAAACCTCATTGTGATCAGGCTGCCTCTGGTTATGCGGGGCTCTGCCAGAGGTGACCAACTCTTCCCCTGCTAATCTTGAAAACATACATAAATGAAACAAACACAAGAACAGAAACAACAAAAACAAAAACCAATCCCGAGGCTGGACAGAAGTGCTCACCTCAATCTAAGGCGGTGGCTGGGGATGAACAGAAATGTTCCTTCGATCTACCACTTGGAATGAGGCTGGACATAGCAGATCACCTCGTGATGTAATAATAATGAAAGTAAAAACAATCATATCATTGCATTGTTGTAATATCACTATTTTTCACATCGAATCCAGTCGGTCAAGGTAGATATGGAAATTTCACAATACCTGAGTTCCATAAGATTCAATATCATTTCCTCTACTCTTTATTCACTATACACATGAATTTTACGATCTTACTGACAAATTTCATTTCGATGCAGACGGTATTCAGATTAACCTGTTTTTCCCTAAAGAGGATCTGAAGGAAATTGATATGGGTTTGAATCAACACCCATGCTGTTGAAAGGAATCCTGTACTCACTGTTAGAATGACCTCAGTAATGAAATCGAGGGTACGTACTCATACTAGGGAGAAGCAGTAAATGCTGACTGATGAATATAATCTAAGGTTTTGAGGTTCTGAATTCTATTTTTCAATGTATTACATTTCTCTCCATTTGATATTTCACTTCCTGTATCAATGAAGCATATCTATTAAATCTAATAAAGTAAGTATAATTCAAAGCAGGCTTTTTTGACAATGTGGTTTTTTTCACAAATAGGTTTTTTTATTTCAGACTTATTAAAGTCATTATATCAAGCCATAGGACTCATTATCGATGCTGAACACATGTTTAAATTATTATATAAAAATTATTTTTCAATTATTTATTTTTTTTTAGTGTATGTTGTTATTGAAGCGTGTTTTTATAGTTTTTTAAACTACTGTTATTCTTCGTGAACTTTTTGAAGNATTTTCAACGTTTTGTAGTTTTGAGGATCAATTTCAAGCAAAAACAAATGGCATTAATGAGTAATATTCAACATGGGGATGAATATAAATAACTCTGTCATTTCAAATTTGATTATAATTATACATGAATAGATTCAACAGTTTGGTAGCTGAATTCATTTAGTATTCATGGTAAAACCAAAAAAATTAAGTTGTTTTGATAGATTACAAGTGATTCACTTGTAATCTGGTAGTTTTTATATTCACTAGAAAAACAAACAATGATTTCATAGTTTTGCGTCGATTTGTTCTAGCAATAAGTATAACTTATAATTATCATTTCTAGTTGGCATATTTGTGCACATCTACTTTGTAGATGGAATCCAGTCACATAGAAAACTAGGGACATCATTGCCACGTCTTCAATACAGATAATATAGGCGAGTAGTTCTCAAAATTTCTCATCCCAAGATTTTGAATGGTTAGTAATAGTGCGAATTGATTTCGAGTTATATATGTCAATATCATCACAATAATTTGAATTATACAAAGCCATTTTAAACCGGAATAGATAGGCCATTATAGGAGACTTTTGATAACATTCCCGATAAGGTATAGACACAAAAACAATAAAGAAGAGTATTTCTTCATTTTTGTGAACTTTACTTTAAGGTACTTGATTTTACAATTATTCAGTGACAGTGTTATCTAAAGATTCTCATTCCTTTCCAATCATTCGCAAGTTGCTACATGATTGAAAATATTATTAAATACAAGAAAAGTATTTCGGGAAGAGAATGGACTTAGCATCCTGAGTTTCCGAATTTAAGTTTGCTATATATATCCAAATAAGTGGTTAACTAGATATAACATGTTACATCCATATAAATCATCTTACTTCCAATGAGAACCACCTCGCTTCTGACTGAGTTGAAGCAACAGTTTTGCTGGTGCTACTAGTACTAGCTTTATCATATATGAGATTTTTTCTCCTATATTTTTTTCATCAAGATTAGTACGTAACATCTTCCACCCAAATCCTCATACATCCAACCGAAATGCCGACTCACCGAAAACTTTGGACCACTGAGCTGGCGGCCTCCAATCCGGATAGTGCTTCGGGAATGTGTCCCTGGACCAGAAAGTGTGCAGCACCACTTTGTAAACCGTCAACTTATCAGGTTGGCACGGCTCTCCGACGGGATTCCCCGGCGGCTGCCCCAAAGCCGTAGAAATCACACAAAAGGCAAAACACACAAAACACGCAGCGCGATCCATGGCACCAGTGACACGCGATTGGGTGGCCGGCTCTGATCGCGGACCGAATACGATTGAGAGCAGAAATAGAGACCCAGAGTCTGCTGCCGGCTCACGGTGGGCGCAGTGGCTGAATCAGGACCGGCAAATTCGACTGGCCTGAAATTCAGTCTTGACGGCGATGCGTCGCTGTTTATACATCTTTACTCGAATCAATTATTTGATAAGTAGCAGACAAATGATAGCCTCATAGACAAATCTGACCTCTGCAATAGAATTTGTAACTCAATTGAAAACAATCTTTGAAATCGAATACAAAAAAAACAACTGCCTAGGATGGTTTCGAGAGTGAAAAACATACTCAAAAAGTGTAAAAACTTGCACAAATCTAACTCCACCGTGCCTAGAATTAACCCGCCAGGCAAGTCGATGCAGCCATTTGTCTCGTCAAATGGTCAACAGAGCATTTCGAAACCTTATCGATTCCGCAGACCAGTTTATTTGTCATTAACTTACAAGAATTCATCAAGAAAATCGAAGACGTAAGTTTGTGAGATGCTGATATTTCCGCATATCTCGCCATCCTCGATATTTGGGTTTTTTTTTGAAAATCAATGAGTACTTTGGGATATTGCTTCTATTTCAACAATTTTTTCTATAAGCAGAATGAGGGTACGGTAGCAAAAAACCTTTCATGGCTAATCCATTCACAAGCCGATTTGAAATGTGAGCAAAAAATCAGAATACTCTCCAAGGATTTGGACCCAATATGTAGGTGACGACGTATTTATCATTTTGGGCTCAGATTCATAAATTAGACCAGGGTTGAACCTTTAAAAATGGTAAAAAGTGAAAAATAATAATAGTAGAATGTAACCCATTAGAAAAGGAGGAAAATATAATAAAAATGAAAGGAAAAATAAATTACGGGCGATCTGAGTTCGGGAACTAGGAGGGGAGTGGGAGGGAAGTTTTTGAGGGTGAAAAATGGTTTATTCTGATTTCCGGCAGAACTACAGGTCCTGGAAAAAAATTGAACGGAAAAGTTGTAGGTTTTTCATTTCCGAAAACTAGAGATCATCTAGATATTATAGTCAAATGAAAATAACTGTTTTTTGTTCGAATTTGTTAATGAAAACACGTATAGACAGGCATTTATCAGAACCTACTGTGTAGGTATGTTGGCAGAGATCAATGTTTCATTTCAAAATATTTATTTCTTGTACGTATGTATCTTTCCTTGTCAAGAGTATTGGTACATGGGATGATCCTTACCCGCTTCGAGCTTTGTTCATGGAGATAGTTAACAATATATCTCTTAGACGGATGTTTTATGCATGCAGTTGAGCCGCGTTGAAATTATTCGAGTCCCAAGCACATTTCAATTTGGCATAGGATCTTTCCTGCACTGATGACTGGTAATACTTTGAAACCGGTCTGTAGGTGATCTACTTGATTAATTTCAGGGTGATCCTGCTGCTGGATGAACGAGAAATATCTGGAAGACTAACCTCTGTGAGGTACCTTGCATACATGTCTGTCAGCTATAATTTAATATCCAACGTGATATTAGTTGGGTAAGTAGTTGTTTTTTGACAGGCATTTACCAGAACCTACTGTTTAGGTATGTTGGTAGAGATGAATGTTTAGAAATATTTATTTTTTTGATTCGAAAGATACCTTTGTATTATGATATTAACTCCTATCTAAGTGAAACTTGTACACACCTCAGTGTGTACACCTCAATGTGTACAAGTTTTCTGCTTTATAAAGCTCAGATCAGACCTTCTTTGGAGTATTGTTCTCATGTATGGAGCTCCGCCCCTAAGCATACCCTAAGGCTGCAGAAAAGAGCCATTCGCCTGATTGGAGACACGAACATAAGTTACAACCTTGATAGCCTGGAACATCGAAGAAAAGTTGGGGATTTGTCTCTTTATTATAGATACTTTCACGGGAGGTGTTTACGTGACTTGGCACATTTCATTTCACCAAGACCAGTACATAACAGAAATACGCGACGGACAGTGGCTGCTCATCGTTTTGAGATTCAACTCAGTACATCTTGAACTTCACTATTTGAGAACTCATTCATTTGGAAAACAAGGTTTATGGAGAATAAACTTCCGAAGAACGATTTTCAAAATGAATTTGATCTGTAGCGATTCAAATCCAATATGAATCACTACTTTCGTACAAGCACCGCTCTTAGAGCGACTTGAGGAATTTTCCGTAGTGCCTGTTTTTTGTTCTTGGAAAAAACTCATGAGCCACACAGGAGAGAAATTGAATTCCATAAATAGTGCAAAAAATCATATTGATTTTCAAAGTTTTAACAAAAAAATGGACGGGAAAATAGCACTTTTCGATTTTTGAGCTCAAGAAAAAAGTAATTCCATTTCTAACTTAAACTAA